CATCATAATTTCTAAAAAAAATTCAATTTTCAAATGACAAGTTCACAAGAAGAAACCACATTTCCCATACAAACAAAACAATCTGCAAAAATAATTGATGGAATACATACAGAAGTGTTGATTAGTGGTTTTCGAAATAAGATTTTTGTGGTGATAACACAGTATGGAAAAATTGGTAGTTTGGTAAATAGGATAAAAATTTAATTAATTAATGATAGTAGTTAATTAATTTATATATATTTATATATATATATATATAGATTCATGTAACAGTAGACACGATGTCACCACTTAGAGTGTCATCAACAAATACCATATCAACAAATGAAATTTTTTTACTTGGATCATATTCTTCATTATATCAAATATATGCGTCACAAATTGCCAATACAATAGTACAAGAAAATCCTAATGAAGGAAGATCAATAATTGTTGGAATTGCATTAATGAAAAAGGGTACAGAATCAATGAATGAACAAGAAGGAGAAGAAATAATCGGAGGAAAGTATTTATTAGAACAAGTTGAATTAATGGTTAGAGAATGTAGAGTTTGGTGAATAATTTTTTTTATAATATTGAAAAATTACTAGTATTACTGATATCACTACCGTCAATATAAATAAAATATCAATTATTATTTTTAATATCATTGACATAATAATTAAAGTTGTTGTTATTAAATTATTTCAAGGTCATCATCATCACCATCATCATGAATGTTATCATCATTTAAATTCCAAAAATTTTCATCAATTGTTTCATTGCCTTGAACATGAAACCATTGACAACACAAATCATTGAATGCATTGTATGGAATGTCTTGATTGTTTGAAAAATCTGGAAAAGAAAAGCTTTTAACAGTTGTTAATGCGTAATTTTACTGGTCAAGGAATATTAACAACTATGATAATAATAACAATGATATTATTGAGAGATTTTAATTATATTTTTTGTTTTTTTAAAAAAAAAGGATATTAAATTTACAAATGGTGCTTTTTTTTTTAACAAAGAACTTGCCATACTTAATTGGAAGGAATTTACTTATCAATTATTTTGTTGAATAAAAGATAATTGAATTAATGAATTCTGAATTTATTATCATTATACCTTTCATTGTAATAATCTAGTTTATTTCCAATAATCATAATTTTTTCCAGCTTAGATTTATTCCAATTGGCTGAAATAACATTATTATATAGACCAATTGGGCAATGTGGCATATAGAAAAGTGTATTATTTGAGATAGAATGTTTTGCTTTCTAATCATAATAATATTGATAAGTAATTTTACAAAAGTGTAATATTATATGTTGATAAATATTAATAGATAAACTTGCCTCATTGATTTCTATTGATTCAACATTATAATATGATATAATTTTTAAATCTAAATCAGATTGAATTGGGTCATAATAAGATATTTTCCCAATTATCTTGAAAATTTGAAAATAATAATAAATATTTTTTATTTGTGTCCAAAATGAAAATATATCTATTTTTTTTTACCTGAAATAAATCTTTTAAAAGTAATAACAAAGCAAATTGATATTGTGATACTATTGATTTTTCTATACATCCAACTCCATAACTGATTATATTGATGAATCCTGGGTGGTTTGGATGTAAAAGGTTTCTTTTAATATTCTCTAATAAGTTAATATTAGCATTAACAATAATAAGGCTATAAATATTATTATACATTAAATCCAAAATATATAAATTTGTTTTCCTTTTTTCTTTTACCTTTTAATTCATTAAAAGGATTACTTTCTAACAAAATCATTCTAAAAAATCAATCAAACCAAATCAAGTCTTGTAAAAAAAAATTTTTCTCATATTTAATATAAAATAATAAAATAATACTTTTTATTTTCTATAAAACTTATTAATTTTTCAAAAGAATTTTGTTTAACAATAAATTTTTTATGTTTGTTGTTATTATAACTTTTATATTTAAATTTATTTTCTTCCATTTTCAATGCAAATTTTTCTTTGTAAAATGATAACCTATTACTACGTAAGATTTTTTTTTGTAGGTAACAACATATTTAGATGTACCTTATCATTGGTTGATTATGCTCATATGGTTTCTTAAATGTTATTTAATCAAAAAAAAAGTATAAATATACATATATAAAGATTTCATTTTAGATCAATGATTAGATAGAACTGGAAAAGGATAAATCCATCTAACCCTTCAAACCATTTCCCATAATCTTCAATTATTTTTTTTAATTTGATTTAATACCTTGTGGTATAGAAATGATGATCTTTTGATACTTCTTCCAGTAAAACAGGCTTTACCCATAATGATAGAATATTTGCTATTGATGAATGTTCTATACAATTTTATCATTATCATTATTGAGATTTTTGCTCTAAATTTGAAAACAAAAATAATAAATCTGTTCACCAAATAAGATCTTGTAGCAAAGTAACTGGAGA